TCCACAACAAGTGTCAGCACTGACAAATCCTCCAAATGTGCTTCTTTTGGGTGGGTGCCCTTGAACAACCAACGCCACTGGGTTTCCGTCAAGTAAAATCCGTTTGGGAGGCTGCAGGGGTCCTTATATTTGGGGGACCCTAAACAGTTTCTATCAAACGGGCTTGCACTAAACAATCATCTGGGTAAGGATCCTAGAACGCTTTTGTTGCAACCCATTCAACGGGTCCAGTCTGTTTCCCTTTTGTCTGCCAGCAGGTCGAACTTGCACCCAGGGCAAGCTCGTCACCAGGTCCGAAGGCCATGTCAAATAGGCCCGTCCAATTTCTCACTTCCTTCAGAATCTTGGAGGTCCAAACGAACCCAGTGGAGATCCAGTTACCTCTTCAATAGAGGGTCCAATGCTACGGGGTTGCAATTAAAGGAGCTGAAGTGGGATGGTGATGTTCAAAAGGGGACATATGAGGCGCGGTCAACGTCTTATTTGGATGGCCATGGGGGGGGACTCACAGAATATTCCCCAGAACACGTGGACTCACAAATTTTACCATGTTCACCACAGAAGCGGAATATGTCTGTGGATCATGCAAGCACAAAGTATTAGCTCAGCTGGGGGGAAGCGAGCTCACCCTTGATGCGGACCCCGCTCTTCCAGGTTCCTCATTTCTAGTTTGTGCCCAGAACCATCCAAGGAGGGTCACCCCTCTTTAAAACTTCTGGAGGCGAATCGAAGGAAACCTCCGCTCAGGGCGGATGGAGCAACTGCACAAAGAGCTGTGGGAAAGGCGCGCGTTTCGGGGGTTCTTGGTTTCGGGTGCCGGAATCTATTGATTTGGGCCCAGAGTGTCCAAGTACCTCCTAAGGATGGGGTAGAAAGGGGTCCATACGAGCAGTTGCAGTTAGAAGGTCTTTGGAGAGCTGCCATAAGGGAATCGTTGTGGGGTGAGGGGAAAGTCTTTTCGGGAAAGGCGTCGGTCGGGCTAGAAACGGTTGGGGCGTGGGGGATTATGATTTGGACGTCTGGAATTCCATCAAGTCCCCTTCATGTCAGAAAAAAACAGCTGGAGCTGGGTCATGTCAGTTGATGCGCTTTCCGCTTTTCGCAGGGACACGCAGCTTTGCGGGTTTCACCCAGGGTCGGGTCCAGCCGTTGCTTGAACAAGCCAATCGTTGAACAAACCTCCAGTTGCACACCTGGAATCCTAGTCCCATGGCTGGCCAATCTCTAGACGACCAGGCATCAGGCCGAATCAAAGATGCGCCCAATCTGCGAGGTGTATCCTTCCCATTGAACCTCCGAAAGGTATGTTTGTCAAAGAGGGCAATACCCATACTCCCATCAACTTTCCAGCCCATCTTTGTTCTTGGGAAGCCATGGGACGGTGGGAACTTCTTCTCCATTTCCCCCCAACCTTTGGCTCTGACTTCAGGCTCCGAACCTTAAAACCGAGAAGCCAAGATGCAGCAACTTGCTTTGGTTTCTAAAGACTTCCGTTGGGACTTTGGCGCAACCCTAGTCCTTCTCGCGGGCTTAGGCTCATTGTGAAGCCACCTGGGGCGTGCTCTGGCCTTTCGTTACTTCCAAAATTCGCCTAAACCATCATGTGTTTGTTTCCTACCGATTAGAGAGCCCCCCCAAATATATATATATATATATATATATTGTTGTTTCCTTGGGTTTCCTCTTTCATGAGTCATGAGTTATGAGCCTTTGAATTGTATCCAACCTGGGGGGTTACCGGTTGGTTCCTCACTCCGCATTCCCCGACTAAAACCAACACCTGCTGTACTCAACGATCCAGAGCTAAATACCGAGTCATGGTTGTGTCAAAGCAGGTCTAGGTCCACGTTCTCTCATACCCTCGAAGAATCCCCTTGAGCAAGCGACAAACTAGCTATGATTAGATAGGATTCGACAAGGTTAGCAACACAAAATGTCGCCCATGTTCCGCAACTAGACACCAGGGTTAGGAGGAGTGTTGCCAACTCATACGCAAGCAAGTGGAACCTCACAGTCAGCTCCGCTCTAATCCAAGCAGTGACTGCAGTGCTGATTCAAACAAACCATGCCTCCAATCCAACAGCTGCCAATCCAAACCAGAAGCCAGCAAAGAAGCAGTTCAAAAAGACTGTGACCAGAGAGTTCCTGTATTGTTCTTGGTTTGATTTATTTGTTAGATGGTTCGCTTCATTTTGGAGACCGGGGGAGGGACTGACTCCTCGAAGCGTAACTCCCCCTTTTCAGGGATCCTTTTTGCAGATAGCCGCCAAACAGCCAGGGGGCAGGGCTAGCTTTTGAAAAGAGCGATGGTTGGAAAGCATGGGTGACTCAACCCATGAACAAGAACAGAAGATTCCCTTTTAATCGGAACCCCGAAAAGAGTACAGTGCCCTCAAACTATCCCTGAAGGCTTAGCCAACCAAGTTTCCACACGCTATTGACGAAATCAACCTTCAGAACCTGGTCGTGTTTTTGTTGCGCCTTCCAGGCATTGCCTTCCGGGAGCGCGTGCAAATCGTCACGGCGCGGTTGGGCGGTCGGGAGTTTAATGCCAAGCGCGTGGAGGGGCAAGTAACCCCCCCAAATTGCTATCAAGTGACCTCTGGTAGGGGCTATTATGGGGTCCATGTCTCCCTTTCGAAGGAATAACTATTGAAGGCCAATTTCTATTCGAAGTGCTTCCTATTGAATGGTGCACTGTTTTAGTGAAAATAGAATGACGCCTGTACTAAGATCAGTTGGGACTTGTGCCTCAGGCTAACCAGCACACAAGGTGTTTCCTCAGCAAGGGTCGAATCTCAAATGCATTGTTTTTGTTTTTTTTGGGTGGTTCGGACTGACGTGTTTTTGGGGCGCTGGGAAGGGCAGACTTGAGCGCCCGAAATCCCTGCGCATTTCAGGTGAGGTTGTGATTGTAAGGCCCCGCGTTTTCTGCTTGTTTTAGCGGGAAACCAAAAGGACACCACCCAATTTTGGGGGTTCCTCTATTTAAACACACATCCAGGCGGCTCTACCATGGTACATCAACAGTTGCAGGCACAGAGCACAGTATTTACTCTTGAGACGCGGAAAGAAAGGTGCGCCTACTATCTGGTTTGACAAGGGAGGGTTATAGTAAGGCCTATGTAAACCTTAGCCTTAGCAAAATTCCGTGGGTGTTAAAGAAGCTTGCTGCTCACTTCCTTGGACATATCTTGGCAGCCTACGGGGGTGTTGGAACCCTATGAAGCCAGAGGGTCCACTTGGCACAAGCGACCCCGTTTGACGGTACTTGGACCCTCTAGGGTGAAGGTTCCTTCGGGATTCCTTGTTTCAGGTGTGTGAACATAGCACTGTTGCCCCCGTCCAACTCTGGTTTGTCAGCAGACACTTTGCATCGGAGTGCGTGTTCTTCGGAGGTCAGCGGAGGTCCGGATGCTGTCTGGGGTGTTGGCAACCTCTTTTACTGGTCCCAACCTCTTTTACTGCGTCCCTAGCAGAAAATAGTCTGAGGGGTTCTCAAAGTTACTGTTGGGTAGTTTGAGGATGTCACCTCAACGGAACCTGAATATTGGTAGCTTGGTGATCCAAGCAAGCTCGCAAATCGTTTTGCACATTGAAACGGCGCCTTTTCCAGCCTCAATGGCACCTTTCGCAATGGCAGTTTCTATTGTTTGAGCGAAACAGCACAAAACAACATCGTGTTTGCCCTTTTTTGGCGGCCTCCTATTTTAGGTCTGTGAACGGCGTATTTTCAAGGCACGCCCATCTAGGTTTCAGCACGCGTAGCGGCCAGGCCGCCTTTGGGGGAAGCTGCGATGGCAGCGCAGTGCAGACGGACTTTTGCAACAAAGTGTGGCCGCCTCAGGCCCCAAGTGGAGTCCACCAGACTTCAATGTCAGACTTGTATAAGTTGACCTACTGTGTGGACAAAATCCATTTCGCACCACCTAGGAATGATGATTCCCGTGCAAATACCTTGTCCGTCCACGGTATGTATATTCTGCATGTTGGACCTGTTGTCATGAACTCGTTCTGAGGGGGGGGCAAGGGGAGTGACTGCAATGCTTAGGGAAGGTAAAGGAGGCTAAAGGAACTTAAGGGAAGCTAAGGGAGGCTAAAGGAAGCCAAAGGAAGCTAAAGGAGGCTAAAGGAGGCTAAAGGAGGCTAAAGGAAGCTAAAGGAGGCTAAAGGAAGGACACAAGCTTGGGGAAGGTAAAGTAAGCTAAAGTAGGTTAAAGGAAGTTAAAGGAAGCTAAAGGAAGCTAAAGGAAGTTAAAGGAAGCTAACGGTAGATAAAGGCTGCTAAAGGAGGATAAAGGAGGTTAAATGGTTTGCAGTAACCCCCTTGCCCCCCCTCAGAACGAGTGCATGATGTTGGCTTACTTCGTTCTCCGTTGCAAACAGCAAGCAACACGGGCCCACCTTTACATGTCTTGGCTGAGCAGAGAGAGGGACTAGTCTACTCCGTTTCAACCAACTGAGATGCTGGAAGATGTCCACTTGGTGTTTCCTTGTGCGCGCGTCAATTGCTTGCATTCATTAGGAATGTTGTGCAACTGAAGGGGTCCTTGGAAGAATGTCTTGCCTCAAGAGATCCACTTTTGCACTGACACAGACAGGCTTCCTGCAACCAGGATTGGTCATGTGCAAACCATCCCACTTACTTATCCTGCTCTTTGCATTTGTCGGTGTTGGTTCAGCTTGGGACTGGTGGGGGCCTGATGCCTTTTAGACGAACACACATGTCACATGTCGCAATCACTTTGCATGAATCTGGAAGGAACCTCCCACCTGTGGATTCCTTATTTCCGCTTTGTGAATTGTGGTGATTTGATCCACCGTTACATTTGAGACCCACACGCCCCTGGAGGGGTGGGTGTTGAATGTGCCTGACAAGCTCGGCACAGATGCCTGCAGCACTGCAAGTCAACCACTCTCAACCACACCGGTAAATTCGGGGTTTCCTTGTTCCTTGTTCCTTGATTTGAAATACGGGATCGGGGCATTTCGGCCTTTTCGGCTCGAGAACGGCCCAACCCACGCGGTCCACGCCTCGCTTCTACTTCGCCCTCCCGACTTTGCGTTTCCAATGGCGGCATCTCACGCAGCGCTCATTGGCAAGGCTGCTCCCGACATGGAGCCTTTGCTGTCATTGGCGCAGAATCAGGGGACCTGTTCAACAGGTTCGAACCTACTTGTCAGAAGCCATTCAGAGTCACCTAGGAGTTGAATCTGGAGGTGTGTGAGTGTATTGTATGCGTGTTTGGCGCAGCAACTAGGACAAGGCGGATAAGGCGTGCTTTTTCTTTTGTTGTCCTTTTCAATGTCCGTTTTGATACCCGCTTGTACAGACATGTCATGGGAAACCCAATTGGTTAGGAACACAGTTTACTGGGTACTTTGAGGTCCCAGGTACAGTGGATGCCCCGAGCATGTTGGAGCAAGCCAATGATACTCAACCACAAAACCACAGCAAATGGCTGAAAACTCGAGACTTGCCAAAGGTGTGGGGGAAGCAACCTGAAAAGGATCCCCAAGAAACCCCAGTTGGTTCACTTCGGGTTCCTTCCACATGGCTGTGGGTCAAAAATAGGTACCCAAGATGGAACCCTGGGAAATGGAAACATGCACTGACATCTGCGGTTCTGTGGTGATTTCATATTGACCCACACCCATATGGCCACGGGTCAAAATCCCGGTTATCCCCCAGTGAACATCCGATTCAATTCCCACTAAAATTGGTTCTAAAGTGGGTGGTGCACCGCAAACCCCCCCATGGGTTTTGCCGCACCGCCATATCATCCTTCCAATGGCCGTTTTGATGCCGCACCTTCCACGCCAGCCTAAAGGACCTCAAAGGACACCTATGATTGACCCACACCCACCTTCCTCGCAACTCGAGCCTTGCAACCCGAGTCGGTTGAGACACGCCTTGACGCCTTGAGGAGCTGGAGCTGGCCGAGGGCAGCGGCACGCTGCTGGCGCTGAAGCAGCCGGGACAGGCGGAGGGAGACCTGTCTCATTCCATGTGCCCAGGTTGTTCAACCCTAAAAAGGATACCCAATTCCTTTCTACCAGATCATATTGATATATTTATATATATATATATATGTATATATATATACATATATCTATATATATATATACATTGTATATATATATATATAGGCAAATGGGATCCACACCGCTTCCAGCAAGTGCTGCGTCCCGGCGAAAAGTGCATCATGTCAGTTAGGCCCAAAGTCGACCTTTGCCACATCGGGAGTGGTTGAATGGCGAGTGTCATCTTTACCTCATCATTATCCTTCTCGTCATTGCGGTCATAGAATTGAGTAGTACGTAGAATTAGAAATCTTCGCCTGGACGATTATCCTTCTCATTACATAGTATCATAGTTCGAATGATCGTCATTCCCAGTGGTTGCATTTCCCTGCGCCATTCAAGATCTAAAAATAGAATGTTTGGTTGCCTCTACAAGGGCAACTGGGATCAACTGGGATTGCTATCATGTGTTTGGATTATTTGCTATGCTTTTGGATGAAGTTCCTTAGCAAGGTCCAAACGCCATTTGCCGGCCTTGCTTTGACCCATCGATGGATCGCGCTGAAGCGATGAAGTCAAAGAGGACAAGGACAGGGGGTCCTGCGCAAAAAGGAATTGAACCTCATGTTTGGTTAGTAGGACAAAGGCTTCCCTATTCAGTCGATTCTCTAAACGTGTGCATTCCCCTGGGCTGGGGTTGGAAAAACTGTGTCCCCAGCTTAAGGGGTTTGGTTTTGTAGTCTTCTTGCGGTATCCTGTTTAGGCGTGTTGCAAAGGAGACTTTATCAGGACAACTCGGCATTTTGCAGGGTTTCCCTGTGGAAGCCTTTGTTTGATCACTTTTATATACCTTGTAACTGGGGATACTGTGTTTACTGCGCACATTACAGAGTGGCATCCTCGGGTTTATAGCCAAAGGGTTTAGTTCTCAAAGGGTTCATTTGGGTTCACATGGGTTCATATGGGTCCATATTAATATGGGTTCATTTGGGTTCATATGGGTTCATATCTGTTCATATGGGTTCATATGGGTTTATATGGGTTCATATAAGGGTTCATATTAATATGGGTTCATATGGGTTCATATGGGTTCATATCTGTTCATATGGGTTCATATGGGTTTGTATGGGTTCATAAGGGTTCATATTATGGGTTCATATGGGTTCATGTGGGTTCATGTGGGTTCATCAGGGTTGATATCCGCTTTGTCTACAACCAAAAGGATCATAACCGAAGGGTCTTCAACAGGATGCGCCCCGTTGGCGAGAGGCCATGGTGGTGGACTTCTTTGCGCCCTGGTGCAAGGCCTGCCCCAAGGCTCGGCTGGACGAGCATGGGGCATGTCGGTTTTGAGTTGGGGTTTCCACGAGGGAATGACCCAACCACAGATTTTTTGAGGCAAGTTGTGTTTGCGGGTTGGTTTCAGGAGGGAACCAACATGGGTTTCTCAAAATGGGTTGCTCAAAATGGGCATTTCGTGGCAAGATTTGACCGCATCCCAGGCTCCTAGCGGTTAGAGTTGGACCCTGATGGATTTCGGAATTTTCCCTGGCGTGTTCCTTTAGAATTATAAAACTGGGTACCACCCCTTGGATGGTGCAGGGAAACCAGAAGGAAACCAACTGGGAGGGAGTACCGGGCCATGGGCCTCTTTGTGAAACCCAAGGTCACGGCTTTTGGAAGGGACGCCATGTTCGACGGTGGCCCGGGCAAGCATGCATGATGTTCGAAGAAAGTTGGTTTGAGCAAACAGATCCTCGGTTCTCTTTAACAGTTATTTCCCGAAGGAGGTGGTTTCAAGAAGATTGGTTCCAACATGTTTGTTCACCAAGGGCTGCGTTTTTTTTTTATTTTTTTTTTTTGTTTTTTTTTTTCCGCTCCGTCTGCAGTTGCTAGGCCGCCCAACACCTGGAGGAGTTGGCGGAGACTTGGAAGGACCTGAGCAAAAGAACTGTGTCGACTCACCAAGGGTTCCATGTTTTGACTAGCCCAAGGTGGACTTAAACCCAGAAATCGGTTGTTTTTTTGGGATAGTCAGCCATATCTGGGTTAAGTATACCCTGCAGGCCCGGGGAGTCAGAAAATGGAACGCTGCACCAGGGTGGGATACTCACCACGTTCCCATGTCAGCAGGGGTCACAATCACCGCGGGTGACGCAGAAACAGGGAACCAGCGCGGATCAGACAAACCGATGGTTGGAAAGAGCACGGAGTGGGGGTACAAAGGGGATGGCTTTTGGGGGGTAACCAGGGGTACCTCCTCAGTGAAGGTACTTAAATCCTCCGAGTCAGGCGATTTCATGGAATCTCCCACTGCAAATGGACAAGTCTTCCAAGTGCGCAGCTTCCATGAAAAACTTTGGAAAATGCCGACTACACACGACAAGTCCTGCAACTATCCTTCAAAGTGGGAAAACACTTTTGCTGAGCGCAGCGTGGCAGTGGCAGCCAATTGCGCCAATTGCTGCTGTATAGGAAAAAAGTGCATGCGCTGTCAAAGGCTCGCATTTTGCGCGCTTCGTTCTATAGTCGTTGGAATCCGTGGTTTGAACAGATCTCAGTGTAAATGGTTAGATGTCTGATTGACGTGCTGAAAAACGAGGGGCTTTGAGCCTGAAGAAGCTTTTGGGGTAGAACGCTTTACTCGGCTTCTTTACCGCCTGATTATGAAACGCCATGCGAGTGGAGGTGCACTTGCCGAGTGGCAAGAGCTGCTGTCTGGGGCTTTCGCCGGAGTCGAACGTCCGCGAACTTAAGGCCGCGGCGCAGCGCGAGCTCAAGCGCCGCTTTTTGAGCCTTGCCTTTGGAGGCCGGTGGCTCGGGCTGTCGCCTTTGAGCTCTCTGCGTGAGGTCGGTGTGCGCGAGGGCGACTGTATTACCGCTATCGGGGCATCGGTCAAGCTGACTTCCACGAGCAAAGCCTTTGCGCTCCATGGCGGAGGCACTGTACTGACTTGGGGCGATACTCGCTCTGGCGGTGACAGCAGGCAGGTGCAGGAGAAGTTGGTGGGGGTCCGGCATATCCAAGCGACTTGCTTTGCTTTTGCTGCCATCCTTCACGACGGCTCTGTGGTGACTTGGGGTGCGCCAGACCATGGTGGTGACAGCAGCCAGCTGCGAGAGCAGCTGACGGGGGTCCAGCAGATCCAATCGTCAGCTGCAGGTGCGTTTGCTGCCATTTTGGAGGACGGGTTTGTGGTGACTTGGGGCGATCCTGACTTTGGTGGTGACAGCACTCTTGTACGAGACAAGCTGGTGGGGGTACAGCAAATCCAAGCAACCGCTGGAGGTGCTTTTGCTGCCATTTTGGACAACGGCTCTGTAGTAACTTGGGGCCATTTTGGCTATGGCGGGGACAGCAGCCGGGTGCGAGAGCAGTTGGTGGGGGTCCAGCAGATCCAAGCAACTGGCAGCGCTTTTGCTGCCATCCTGAATAATGGCTTTGTTTTGTCGTGGGGCGATCCTGACGCCGGCGGCGACAGCAGCCAGGTGCAGCAGCAGTTGGCACACGTCCAGACAATCCAAGCGACTATCGGTGCTTTCGCTGCCACATTGGAGGACGGCTCTGTGGTGACTTGGGGCGATCCGGACTATGGCGGTAACAGCAACCAGGTGCAAAAGAAGCTGGTGCATGTTCGGTTGATCCAAGCAACATTCGCCTCTTTCGCTGCCATCTTGGACGATGGCTCTGTAGTTGCTTGGGGCAGTCCATTCAAGGGCGGCGACAGCAACCATGTGCACGAGCAGTTGGTGGGCGTCCAGCAGATCCAAGCAACTGAAGGTGCTTTTGCTGCCATCTTGGAGAACGGCTCTGTGGTCACTTGGGGCAATCCTTTGGTTGGCGGTGACAGCAGCAAAGTGCAAGAGCAGCTGGTGCGTGCCCAGCAGATCCAAGCCACTGACGGTGCTTTTGCTGCCATTTTGGACAACGGCTCTGTAGTAACTTGGGGCCATTCTGGCTATGGCGGGGACAGCAGCCGGGTGCGAGAGCATTTGGTGGGGGTCCAACAGATCCAAGCAACTTACGGTGCCTTTGCTGCCATCCTGGACGATGGCTCTTTGGTGACTTGGGGAGATCCTGATGATGGCGGTGACAGCAGTGAGATTCAGACTCAACTCGACTGGTTGTGAAACTGCATTGCTGGTCCTGGGTTTGCATCTCTTCTTGTTGGATATACCTTACAATGAGCGCTGGCAAGCATCCACCCGAAACTGCGAGAACCCCCCCCCCTCAAATGGGTGTGGGTCAATATTAAACCACCAGGGGACCGCAGATTTTAGTCCATGTTTCCATTTAGCAGGGTTACATTTTGGGTACCTATTTTTGACCCGCCGCCTCAAATGTTCACTTTCACGGACCCAGGCATAGCAGCAGCTCGCGTAAGACAGCCAAACTCCTCCTCTTTCCCACTGTAAAGGGGCTCACTGCTGCACACTCGAGTTTTGGGTTGGCTTTTTCAGAAACCGAACAGAAGGTTGGGCCATCTTTCAATTCCTGGCCCTTGCATGCGGAATGCAAATTCCGCTTTGCAAATATTTGTTCTAGGTCGAAATTGGGAGAAAGCATGGGTTACCTTTCGGTTGCCCAGTTAGCTGTCGGAATGCACCTGGCCGCGCACGTCGGTATCCAGGATTGAGGCGCATTTCCCCAAGGCCCAAGGTGATGCGTATGTGCAAGCTTGGCTGTTTCCGACAATATGGACTTGCTGTTGAAACATGCTCTCCTGTCTTTTGTGTGTGTGTGTGTGTGCGGAACCTCCAAATGTTTTCCACCTACCAATGAATACCCACTCTTTTGTTTGAATGAATACCCACTTGGTGCTTCCTCTTTTTTTTTGGGGGGGGAGGAGGATCCTTTGACGCAAAAGGAGGTGTTCACCATGGAAACATGAGCACCGTGAAACAAGTGAGAACAGCAAGAAGGGGGTTGGTTGTACGTTGGTTCGATTGACACAAGATTCCCCAACAGCTGAAAGCTTTCTCAGCCCACATAGGCTCTGGGGTAGTCCGGGGCGGCCCTGAGGTAAGGTTCCACGAGGGTTCCACCAGGTTTTCACCAGGGCTTCACCAGGTTTCAACCACGGTTCCACCACGGTTCCACCTGGGTTCCACGAGGTTCTGCGAGGGCTGCCACGTAAATTTCGTTTCCCTTGGTTTGGATCTCAAAATATTAAACCCCATTGTCTCCATGTTTTTGTTGGGCGAGTGGTCACAGGCATGGGGAATCCCGCTTTATCTTGGGTTTTTGGGGCTGTTCCCCAACGTTTTGACCAACGCCCTGATGCTTGGGGGCACGCGCTTCCGTTCTCAACAGGACTGCTGCTTCGTCTTGGTCTGCGTGGACGGGGCGTTGGCTGAGGCCCAGAAGTTCGCGCAGGAGCGGCGAGAGACAGCCATTGGGCCTCGCCTTACGCATGTTGAACTTGGTGGCTCCCAGTCATCCCCTTAGCTTTTTAGCCTTTTAGTGCATAGTGGTAGTTTCCATTTAACCCACTAAAAGTTAAACTTTTAGCGGGGGATCTGAGGGCAGCCCAGTTAAATCACTGTTCAGACATGCTCCTTTTGGGGCCTAGCTGGTTGCTTCAACTATATAGTCTTGCCCAAGCCTGGAAACTGCCTGCAGCTCTTAAAGCGGTTGCCTTTTAGGTGCTCAAAGCCACTTTGGGGTCTTTGTGCCAGCACCCCACTAATGACTAGTGTTTCCTATGTCCAAAAACCCGAAGTGCTGTCCAAAAAGCAGTTGTTGGGGGTGCGGGTGTTCCTTTTCGCGATCTAGAGGACCATTTTGAGGATGTATGTTTTTTGTATATATATATATATACACACATCGTTTTAGACCAATGGCAAAGCTGGGTTGTCATTGTGTAAAAGCAGCCGTTTGTTGTCCCATGTGCAAAAAGGTTTCGGCTCGGCAAAGATTGTTACTCGTCTTCGAGACAGGGTGCAGTACCCCAACCGAAGAGCGCTTTCCCTATTCAGGCCCAACGTACAGCGCGGCGTGTCGCAAAATGAGTAGGTGCCCTTTTCAACGTCGTTGGTCCTTTGGTAGTGGATTTCCTGTAGGTGTCCTTTTGAAAGCCCCCAAATAGGGTCCTCCATTTTGAGACACAGCCTCCACCTGAAGGAGGCCGACATAGAGAACCAAAACCCTTTCCCGGCCCGCTCTGTTGAGGAGAGTTTGTGGCAGGGCAACATTTGGTGAGGTCTGGTTGAACAAGATTTTGCTCTCTGCCCCAGGAGCACAACTTGAGGCGCTGCGTGGTGGCCTCAGTGGTGGACGAGGATGCTCCGCAGGCCTGCGGAGTCGTTGCCATCCTCGAGTGCGAGTGCGCAGCAGCATTCGTAGGGCGTCTTTGTTGTTGGCTACCCTTTTTCCACAACAGCTGAAAGCTTTGGGATCTCAGCCCAGATAGGCTCCCGGGTGGTCCAGGGCGGCCATGAGGTAAGGTTCCACGAGGGTTCCACCAGGGTTTCACCAGGTTTCAACCACGGTTCCACCAGGGTTCCGCCAGGGTTCCACGAGGTTCTGCGAGGGCTGCGGGGTGGTGCGAGCGCTACAAAGAGAACCGCATGCTGTTGGGGATGTTACCTGAGCTTATTGGGGAGTTTGGGTTGGGTTTTGCTCAAGGGAAACCAAAGGGAAACCACCGGTTTGGAATGTTCCCCTATTTCAAAACCCGCCCATATACGGTTAAGTCTGCAAACTATGGCAGGTGAATCAAGTTGATGCAAAGCAACAACATCTTAATTGAAGGAGGACGGCCATGCCTCCAATCGCAGAAGGGTAAGCAGGCTCAGCATACTCAGCATAGGGTTGTCCTTTGAAGACTACCTTCCTGGACAAAAGTGTATGGCACCCCTAAACAAAAGCATTGGTATTTCTTCTTGGAAATAATGCCATGTCTGTGCCGCAAAAAATATTGTTCAAGGACCGCTTGAACCTGCGAACATGAGGTATCACACCATCATTTGTTGGACCATTTTATCTTAGTCTGCCGATATGACGGCTTCGCCAGGACTACGGGGTGTCCGGGCTGCCGCACCACGTGCTCATCGCGCCGGACGGCAAGGTGGCCAGGAACTACGAGGTGCGGCGGCAAATTACGTGGGGAGCCCTTCGTGTAGACAGGAGCCTCAAGCTACCCCCCAAAAAAGGGTATTGCCCGAAACTTATGGGGCGATCTCAATCATTTTAAGAGTACTTTTTAGGGTACCTGCCAAAATGGGGACCGTAAACGTTTTTGAAGGGGGCCATGGTTGGTTTCCTGGACTTTGCCCTATTAGAACATAGAATCGTGAGCCCTGCCAAATGAACCATGACTACTGGAAGAATTTATCTAACCTCATCTGGGGTTCCACATCGGACCCAGGGTTGGTTTAAGCCATGTTGTTTGAACAAAATCCGCTTGGATTTACCTTCAAAGGGGGCCAGAGTCTCGTTTATATAAATGCGTTGTGTCCAACCGGGCACCCCATGGTTGGGGCCAAAATGCCTCTGCTGTGATAGCAGGGAACTAAGTGTCTAAGACTGGGGAATCGTAGTTGTGGATGGTTTGAAACCAAAACACATGAGAAGCCACCGTTTGAGCAACAAGTGGTCAGTGAAGCGGAATGCTGCTTCCCGGCAGTCTTTCAGTTGGGTGTTGTTTCCAACCCTGAGCCAACTCAACCAGCCCACCCTTAAGCAACCCTCAAACCAACTCTCTACCCAGCGGCCTGAGGTGACTTTGCCTCAGCACCTCGAGGAGGTTTTGGCCCAGCCCACAGCGGAGCCCAACACGGCGCCGAGCGCGGAGCCGAACGCGGAGCCGACGGACGGGTGTTTTTCTTTGGGGACCCATGGGGGTCTCCGGAAACGTGCAACCCCAAAAAGTGTGTCCTTTGGGTTCCCAAAACGAGCCTCAAACGAAGACAAGCCCGAACAGAGCTGCTCCCTTGGAGCTTTACATGGGGCACATCAAGAGCCCCGCAAAGAAGGGGAAGTGCCGATCCTCAAAGTGAAGGCGGTTGGGGGTTTCATGTGAATCTGCAGAGCGTGTGGGCAGAACCTGGGAGAAACCCAAGAAGACTGGTGCACGACATCGGAGTGGCTTGAAAGTTGTACTTTTGGGGAGGAATATTTCCAATTCCATTTAGCGGTATACCTGGATCCTCAACCAGCAGTAGGGTTATGGCAACCCAAAATTATCGTGGGTTCCCCATGTTTGGGTTTGAGGGTCCAAGTGGTTTCAGTGGCCATTTTGTTTGGCGACCTACTACAGCGCCCCAGCGGATTCCAAATACTATAGTAGTTGTCTCTTCGCCATTCTCCTTGAACGGTGGGACACCCCCTTGGCTGCCTACAAGACCAAGGAATGCAATCACAGGATACGAGTTACCCTCTAAGGCTTCCAGTTTCCAATAGAAGTGCCCAGGGGTTCTTACCTTGATGCACATAACGGCTTCCCCCAGTTTACCTGCAATGGACATTGGAGTCACCGATTGCTTGTGCCTGGCATCCACTCAGCACGGAGCTTCCCTGCAGGACATGCTGGCAGCGGTGCCTCGAAAGAGCCGCGTCTCTGACCAGTACAAGGCAGGTTGCAAAGCTTGTTCAAACCATCCTCCCCCGCTCCAGGGTCTGGTTGGAGACCCCTGTATGGTCTCATGATCCTTTGGGGTTTGCGTTCTTAGGGTATCCTTGTCAGGTTGGTTCAAAGGGAAGAAAGGAAAGTGAAGCCCTGTTTTTCGGGTCGCCCTAGTTGGACTACTTGGACTACCCAATTCGACCGGGTCTCCTAAGACAAACCAAAGGAGTTTGTTCCAAACAGTCGCCGGAAAAAAAATGGTGACGTCATGAGGTCTCGTTTCGGAGGGTTGTTCTTTCAGTCAGACCGAAATCGGACGAATTGACCCTACAGGAGCTCGAGCAGAGCGACCCGCTGCTGAAGTCCAACCCTCGGCGCTGGGTCATGTTCCCTTTGCAGTACCCGGAGGTCTGGGAGATGCGCCTCACGCCAAACCTCTCTTTGTGGTTCTCCAGTGCTTGAGGTTACCATATATATATATATTGTATTTATGTGGAGGGGAAACCATCATGTAAAACCTGGAGGTTAAAGAAACCCCTGCTGAGCACCTTTCGAAAGCCACGAAACGCAGTGGTCTGGGGATTCGAACATCACATGTCCAGTCTATTTCGGGAGGGGCATGGTCGTCTCCTTTGCGGGGAGAAGACGAGAGGGCGGGGCTCACATGGGAAGGCACCCGAGGAGGGAGCCCTCTAGCAATGGCTCGCGTGGCAGAAATGAGTTCTGCATACCGCAGAAGCTGAGATCGCCTTGACGTTCAAACTAGCGTTGTGGCTTGAGGACAAGTCCCAGCAAAAGTTGGGGGCTTTAGGCAAACGAAGGTACATGGGCAGAATAATGGCTCCAAATGGGCAAACAAATTCTCTATCGCCTTGTGATGGGAGGCACTGACCGGCTAGTTGTTGGGCCTTAGAACGTTCTTGCAAGGGGTTCTTGGAAGGGTGATGAGTGGGTAGGAGGGTAGGAATGTTTCTCCCTAAACATGACTTAGATTGGTTTATACCCCACAACCCCATACATTATTGTTATTCTTCAAAACGTTATGTTTTTCGTACCCGCCAGACCCTTTGACTGAGGAACATAGCTCAATCAGCGTGCTTGAATTGGTTTATAGGATGCTAAGATATGAAAGCATCGTTTGTTTGCAGTTTCTGAAGCCTTTGATGAAATACATGTTCGAAATAGGGGTGCCCCAAAGATAGGAAGTCTTTTGGTTTCCCTTTGCAGCAACCCCAAATAGCAACACACGCCCCCACCCCCCCTTCCCCCCATTTTGTCGCCTTGGCAGAGGTACAAGAAGCACGAGGCCTCCTTTTGGACTGCCGAGGAGATCGACCTGGCGCAGGACAACAAGGACTGGGCGGCTCTGAACGAGGCGGAGCAGCACTTTGTGAAGCCCCCGGGCCGCATCTAATCGCCGAATCCGAATGATTCAGGCGGGACCTCGAACTGGAAAAACATGCACCAGGGCCTGCAAAACGGTTGCCATGTTTAACCCCTCAAGGCGGGTCTCAAGGATGGTTGCACAATTTAGGCGACTAGTTCCATCGAAGTGGACAGGAACAAGTGTGTATGTTGTCACATTTTATGTATGTATCTTCAGCTGCCCAGTGCTGATTGACCTTTTGGTTTCCAGTTTTGATAGGAGTTTGAGCGGGCACGGACCGCATAAAGATTTTAGCCAGTGATTCTAAAGTAGGGATATGTCATCAGGAGTTTTGACCATGGCACATGTGCGCGCGGTTCCTTCTTGTGAGCCATTTCGGGTTCCCCAAACTATGGACCACAGTTAATAATATTTGAGGTATATGTCCAAGACACATATGGCTGCGAGTCAATTTGTAAGGTCCGGAACAGGGTCCGGAACCCACATGCGATCCAGACCTCCGTTCCAGACCTCCGTTCCAGACCTTGCCTAGAAACATGTTCCAGACCTTCCGTTCCAGACCTTGTTTATGTATATTTATTTCTAGAGTATTGATTCAGATGGTCGTTCTTTGTCGGGTGTGCAAGTGCAATGGCCAAGGCTGAAATGGCGTGGAGCAAGAAAGAAGGAGCAAAGGAGCAAGAAAGAAGGAGAAAGAAATGAAGAAAGGAGTATCGGTGTTCCGGAACTTTGGTTCGGTTCGGTGCGATACAATTCCGCCGCTTTCGATACGATACGGTAACGGTTCGATACCGTTCTCGGTTGAAACGACCATGTTTACATGCGGCTTGCTAGCATTCCAAAGTGCAAGCCACTCGCGTAACCGTTCCAGACCCCGTTCCAGACCCGTTCCAGACGTGTTCCAGACGCAGCGGAGCAATTTGCCACCAAGTCCACATGCACACACATGCGCCATGTAAGTAGCTGCGCTTCTTACGTGGCCCGCCACCCAAGAAGCCTTCAAGGACGACATGTGCCAGGGCTTTGGAGACAAAGAAATCTTTGAAGGATACCCTGCATCGGCTTGCGCATCGGTGGACATCAGCTTACGCCTCCCAGCCTTGTGCATCGGCTGGCGCGCGCGGCGGGCGTGACTACAGCCCATCGGTGTCGCAATGACGCGAGGGTGGCAACGATGACGGCGCGCCCCTAGTCGTTTCATCCATCCATCTACCCATCCATCCATTCATCCATCCATCTATCCATCTTACACTAAATGAACGTGTGCCTGAGGACTCCACGCATGTCCTCCCAGAGGTCCGGAACAAGCGACCTTGCGTAACTGACTCGTTCCAGACGTCCGCGTCACCGCGGAACGTTCCACACCAGAATATTGACCCACACCCATATGGACCATCATGAAGAACATTTGAGGTATGGATCATGATCAACAGCATTAAAGGTATATTTGTGGTTCCTAACAGATATGGACTATAGTCAACACTATGCGACGGATATGTGTGTGTGTGTAGTGCGTTTCTTTTTTCAGTTCAAGTAAGGCACGTGCTGGCATTCTTCGCAGCCAGTGACGGCATTGTACTGGAGAACCTCTCGCAGCAGTTGCCTTGGCCAAAAACGCGTGAGGAACAGTCAATCTTCCCATGGCCGGTCTTTGGTGTGACCTTGGCCCCTTAGACCCTTAAGGGGACCCAAATGACTTTTCCATCAAACGTGGGACCTTTTGCTCGGCTCAGTTGCTGTTAACAGAAGCTGGGTGTTGAGAGGTACACGAAACACAGTTTCGGAAGAAACCGTCGGTCTCGGGTTCTTGCCGATAATCCGGGTCACAAGGGTTTCCTAGATATGTCCCTGCGATTCCCTTCCCCGAATAGGCAACCATGGGCATTCCCAGGCTTCCTTACAGGATACATCCGAACACCACCTGACTCACCCAGCGGTCCGCTAAATCAGCTGGCATGCGGGTGACCTTTTACCTGGCCCAAATGTGTATCCTTTGAGTGGGACCCTGTTGCCAACCGTTTGCCTGGAATCCAATCAATTTGTTCGGTGAGCGCGGTCTCTCGACATGCTTGATGCTTGCGTCTCCTCCAGAATTCTCTCCTACATATTAACATAGACTACATATGAACTATGAAGCAGAGATTCTGAACACACCTTGGACCCTCAATCAAGCCACCCTGAAAAAAAGGGGCGGATTTCACCTGCCCCCGTTTCTCGGGCAAAATTGCAGGCCGTGGTTTACGGGGCTGGGCCTTTGTTTACTCTCCCGAGGTTCTCCTCGGAGGTGCAGATCCCGGAGGCGCGGGCCTTCTATGGCTTCCAGATCGCCATGGAGAACATCCACTCGGAGACCTACTCGCTGCTCATCGAGCAGTACATCAAGGACGGATCTGATGTTTGGCCACTTCTCTTTTTTTTGGGGGTGCATGATGTGATTTGTTTGTTGTAGTGGGATCCGAGATCTCTAGCTCACGGTTTTGGAAGATTTGGGAAACATCGGGACAGCTGTTTTTCGGACGATCTCCGGTTCACGGTTGTGGAAGCTTAAGAGTATTTTGGGACCACTCTCTGTGAAACACCAGAGCGCTTGAGGGCCACTTTCTGTGAACAACAAGGATTTAGCTCGCCACTTTCTTTTATACCAAGGGCATCTCCCTGGTGGCTGGCAGGGTTTGTCTGAAAATGGGGAAGCCCAAGAATGGGTGTTCTCCCCTTTGGCTTCCCGGTAAAACACCCCCAAAAGGTACGCTCTGTTCAGTTGCACCCCCTACATCCGTTCGCGGTTTCCCACATGATAATTGTGAGGGAGCGATCTCAAGAAGGGGATTCGGGTTTGCGACCTCATCCGACTTCCAAGTTTTTGGCACAACGAAGGTGATCGACCTCAGGTTTCAGGATTTGGTTTGATTGGTGGCCGATTTTGGGCACAATGAAACTTGCTTCCTTCGGGGGTCCATTTCTTGTCTCAGCTTGATGAGCTATCATTCTCTTGTCGGAAAGCATCCACCTGACCCAGCGGAAGATTGATATACTGCACCCCGTGGCGGTTGTTTACTCCAATTTGAAGGCAGTGTGCTTTGGGGCTGTCACCATTTTGGAGAAGATTTGGGCGATGAAGCAAGGCCTGGGAGAAGGCCGTTGATTTGGTGTTTGTTGCCCAGGCCGTTTGTTTATTTGGACTGACCTGGTGTCACTCATGCTTTGGTTCTGCATCACACATGGTGTCCCACCTAGCTCCGTTCAGGTAGGTTGACCGGTTGACCCAGCTGAAACCGACCCTTCAAGCAGTGTTGTCGTGCACCCCATCATCATGTTTCCAGTAAATCTGGGTACAACCCATAGTGCACCTTGAACCCACTACCCGCAACCGGGATCCCTCTATAGCCACTAAGGGGTACCCCGTTTTCTGCTGGGTGTTGGTCGGTTTGAATGTACTCTCAGGTTGGCATGTCCTTTGGCCAGTTTGGTTCAAAGCAAATGGGCATCCCTTGAATCAACGGGAGAGTCGGGGTATCCCCCACAACATGATGAGCCTCATTACTTCGTGTGAGGTGCCATCCTCCTTTGTCAATTGCTTATCCTTCCCAACCGCAAAGCTCCACTGCTTGTTGCTTGGATTGTAATCCAGTGGAAGCCACAGGATCCGGTGGAAAAGGACAAGCTCTTCGATGCCATCCACACCATGCCAGCGGTGTGGGAGAAGGCGCAACCGCGCAACCGCGCGCGGGAAGCGTAGCGGTGATGTCAGACGCAGCCTGTAAGCCTTGTCCTGACTGAACATCAACATACATATTAACATATATATATATATATCTATATCAACCTCATTTCCCACAGATATCACCAGGTGCAGAAGAACCCTTCACTCGGCGTTGGTGGGGATGGTCATCATCATCAACCTCTTGATGTCACCAAACTCCTATTCTTAGCTGGGCGTGGGTTTTTGATAACAAATGTAAAGGTTCCTTCTAATGACCCACATTAAGGAGTTTGAACTGGTCCCTTTTTGAAAGGGCACCCATTTGGGAGTTGTTTTAAAGGGAAACCACCAATTTTGGTGGTTTTCTGGGAGACAACCCCACATGTCGGGATCCTATGACAGACACGCTCCATACTACGATGCACATCAATTCAGATTTGAACACCCGAAGCGGAGCGCGGCAAGCTTCTGCCTTGCCAATTTGCTCGCATGCTTTGGAACTTTGGGCGGTCAAGATGCAGGGCTCCTCAGTGTAGAGACGACCACAACCCCACGGTGGATCCCCTTTCGGTGCCCAAGGGGGTTTCCCAGCCCGTGGATATGTCCAATGATCTTTTGGAGAACAAGTCCCCCGTCAGGTTTCCACGCCATCGGAGTACATGCATGTTTATACCATACGTGTATATATATATATATATACGCATATATTTCTATATATATATATACATACTCTTTTGAGCTGCCTCTCATGAGCCCCCGGCAAACCTCGGAAAAAAAGAAGAAAACAACGAAAATCCCACGCCGACGGGGGGGGGGGGGGGGGGTGGTCGCGTCTTCTTTCCTTCGGCGAGGCCTCCTGGGCCATCCAGTGGATGAACCGCGAGGCCTCCTTCGCGGAGCGGTTGGTGGCCTTCGCCTGCGTGGAAGGCGCTCGCCCGCTTGGGGTCGGTTTGGCTCGGTTTGGGGTCGGTTCGGGTGGAAAAGAAACCGGTGGTGACTGGTGCCCCCGAAAAGCTTCCAAGGACTAGGGGGTCTTAAGAACATTTGCCAAAATGAAGATGTCTTATTATTCACCCCCCTGGTTGTGAAGGGAAGCTATCACTACTGGAATAGTTCTTCTCTTTTTTTCTCAGGGGGGTGAAGCAATTCGAAGTGGTTTGATAGGCAGGGGCCCTGAGAAAGGGAATGGACCCCGAGGAAAACCATCCAATTCTGATTTGGCTTCCTTTATTCGGGAATCCCCAAGACCGGCTCATTCCCAACCAGAAGGACCTTCCCTACTGAGCACCAGCAAGACAAAGGACACGTCCTTGTTACCCAAGGGTCAACTAGAAATCCGCTGGACGTTGTCCTTTCTGATTCCCAAACTTATTATGAAGCTGCAGATTTTCGGGCAGGCTAAATTATCTATATAGAACATAATTTGAACATAGTTTTTGTGTGTACCTCAGAAAAGGAGGCGGGCAAAAGGAAGGGTGTAAAGTTGGGGGGCTTTCGATAAGGGACTGCGAGGAATTGGTTTCCTTGTATCCCGTGGTGCCATTCAAGGGGTCCCAGTTGCCTGGCCTGTAAAACCCTTCTGGTTCCTCACTGAAGATGATGCCCAAAGGGAACTGGGGAGTGTGGCACAGGCCAGGGGTTGTGTTTGCCATCGGTTTGGTAGCTAAATGGGTGCATGTTTCTTCGGGTCTTCCACGGACCCCCCAAAAAACCGATCAGCTCCTTAATTTGCATGGCGTCAAAGGGCTGCTTTCTCGGGGTAGATCAAGGCTTGAGGTACTCGGAGAGGGAAGCGAAAGGGGCAACCTATTTTATGCTCAGACAACTCAAGTTTATGTGACAAGCAGCCAGGACAATTGAATGTGAGACAGTGTTGGATGTAAATGTAACTCATATAATCGCACATAGGGATCTGAAACGGCTGGATTACAAGAGCCAGCTGTAGGAGGGACTCCCAACAAAGATGAGGGGCTCCACCGGAACTTGATGCGGTTTGGCCTCCGGGCGTGGACGCGACTTGTTTGTTGGGCGTGGTCCAAGCTCGCAAAAGCCGCGGAAAGGGTTGGAACAAGATCCGGCCGAGTTTTCGAATGGCGAGCCTGGCGCCTTTCGAATGGTAGCTTCGCCGTGGGTGCACGGCTCCATGTGCGTGTGTGCTTGCCGAGTGGGAAGAGCTGCTCCATAGCGCTGCTGCAGGAGGCGAGAATTCGAGAATTAAAGACTGAGGCGCAACTGCGGTTCAAGCGCCGCTTTCTGAGCCTGCTTTTCAGAGGTCGCCAGCTAGATCCGTCATCTTCTTTGAGTGAGGTGGGTGTTCAAGATGGAGACAGCATCGATGCCGTTATGCAGCGATTGAAACTAGCTTTCACGGACCGTGCGTTGACACTTTATGTTGCAGGAGGTGCAGCGCTTACGTGGGGCGATTTAGCCAAGGGCGGCGACAGCAGCAAGGTGCAAAAGGAGTTGGTGCGCATCCGACATATTCACGCAAGCCGGTGTGCCTTTGCTGCTCTCCGAGACGACGGCTCTGTCTGTCGTGACCTGGGGTGAACCTTGCATGGGCGGTGACAGCAAGCATGTACAGGAGCAGCTGGTGCGGGTCCGGCAGATCCAGGCAACCTGGTGGGCCTTTGCTGCCCTCCTGGAAGATGGCTCCGTGGTGACA